ACTGTGATGTACTGTGTACCGTATGTACTGCATACTGTGATGTACTGTATACCGTATGTACTGCATACTGTGATGTAGTGATGTGCTGCATACCGTATGTACTGCATACTGTGATATACTGTATACCGTATGTACTGTATACTGTGATGTACTGTGTACCGTATGTACTGCATACTGTGATGTAGTGTGTACCGTATGTACTGCATACTGTGATGTAGTGTGTACCGTATGTACTGCATACTGTGATGTAGTGTATACCGTATGTACTGCATACTGTGATGTAGTGTATACCGTATGTACTGCATACTGTGATGTAGTGTATACCGTATGTACTGCATACTGTGATGTAGTGTGTACCGTATGTGCTGCATACTGTGATGTAGTGTGTACCGTATGTACTGCATACTGTGATGTAGTGTATACCGTATGTGCTGCATACTGTGATGTAGTGTATACCGTATGTACTGCATACTGTGATGTAGTGTGTACCGTATGTGCTGCATACTGTGATGTACTGTGTACCGTGATGTACTGCATACTGTGATATACTGTATACCATATGTACTGTATACCGTATGTACTGTATACTGTGATGTACTGCATACTGTGATATACTGTGTACCATATGTGCTGTGTACCGTATGTACTGCATACTGTGATGTGCTGTATACCGTATGTACTGTGTACCGTGATGTACTGTGTACCGTGATGTAGTGTATACTGTGATGCTCTGCCTACTGTCGTATGCTGTACAGCAGACCTTCTGTATCCATAGGTTCTGCATCTGCAGATTCAACCATCTGGTACAATGAAAAGCCTACAATGGTCGTGTCTGTACCGAACACGTACAGACTTCTTTTTCTTGTCATTATTCCCTAAACAATACAGTATAATGACTATTTACATGGCGTTTACATTGTATTAGGTACTATAAGTAATCTAGAGAAGATTTAAACTATACGGAAGGATGTGCATAGTTATATGCAAATATCACATCATTTTATATAAGGGACTTGAGCGTCTGTGGATTTTGGGATCCATGGGGGTCCTGGAACTGATCCCCCGCAGATGCCGAGGGACGACTGCGCCGCGACGTGCTGCAGACCGTTCTGTACTGTGTACTATTAACACTGTGGTATGTACCCTTCCAGACGTCTCTGTGAGGATATTCTCTGTGTCCGGATAGTGTGTGTGCTATTGGACGTGCATATGTATGTATTAGAATATCCTATACATATTATTTTGTACCTTTTACTCCACTTTTTTCAGTTTTTCTGGTTGTTGAGTACAGATATACAGCATCAGTCCACTATTACTGACATTCTTAGCTATTCCCTATTGCCATGTAGCTTGTTTGTAATTATTTGTTAATAAAGACAATGTTGGGTGAATTTCTCTATATTTACATCTTTGTGGGCATATTCCTAGAAGTGAAAGAGTATGTACAATTTATAATGGGACGTCCACTGCTGTGCCACCTTCCTCTCGAGTGGAGCTCACTCCTGCTCCGGTGAGAGTGTAGGAACGGGTCCCTTTCCCCAGACTTCCGTCAGGGCGGATGCTGATCTTTTCTATCTTTGCTCATCTCATGCCTTCCCGGATTCCCTGAGAGGATGGAGGGGGTGGAGACATGGACTAGTCTGGCTGATGTTTAGAAGGCCTGGTGAGGGAGGTGGAGTAGAAACTTGATTTAGGTCCGTCAGGGCCTTGTCCTCAGACGTGCCTCCCCCAAGGCCAGGCTGGATCTCAGTGCCCGTCTCTCCCCTGGCACTGCGTGTTTCAGCCACTGGTGTTGGGTTGATGGCAGGAGGTGGGATCGCCAGCGAGCAATTCCCCTGCCAGAGTGAGCCCATCTCCTGCCATCCCGCTCCCGACCTGGAGCGGCCACAGGCTTGGGGCTCGGGTTCGGCCGGAGCCTGCTGAGGAAGGGGACAGGGCCTAACAGACCAGGCTCCACGTGAGGCACCCAGAGTGGCCCTCTGTCACTGTGAGGGCAGGAACAGGGGAGTAGGACGCACCAGAGTGGGGTGTCGTCGAGGAGCTGGCGGAGAACAGTCAGCCGTGTGCTCACCCTGCAGCCAATGGCCTGGTGTGACAGCCTCGGCGAGTCAATGTCACAGGAGAGGTCGCCCTCTTCCACAGGAAGGAAGATCCACCTGAGGGAAGGCAGATGCCAGAGGCTTAGAGACCCTAAACGAAGGCGGAGACCAGGTCCAGACAACCGGGAACTCTCCCGACTTACATCAACAAATGGCTCCAAGGTAGGTTTCCCATAGTTACCTCTTCTATCTACTGCTAAAACTCAGTGAGGAATTACATTTACAGCTGAGGCAGCCATCTCTCAGGAAAGGCAACTGAGAGGAAGTCACCTGACCGCGCCTTGCTCAGAGGAGGAGCTGACTAGCCCAGCTTCTCGACTCCTCTCCTGTGACTGGCCAAGGTCCCACTGCTGGGCAGAGGCAGATCTGGGGTAAGAGCAGGTCTCCTAGGTCCAGAGACCCAGAGCCGCCTTGCCCCTTGTGTGCCTGCAGCAGAAGTCTGCTCTTAGGGCCTTTGCTTCCATGTCCCCTGCAGGAGGACATGGCCAAGAGCAGAAGAAACTCTGAGGACAGCTAGACAGTGGGCCCTGCTGAAGCTGCCTGTGGGAGCCCTTGTGAGCCCGCGCAGGGCCTGCAGAGGGGTGCCCTAGACCCACGAAGGGCGGAGAGAGCAGGGAGGGGGCACAGAGAGCCCCCGGCGCCCTCCTTGTGCGATGATGGCTGTGGCAGCAGAAAGTGAGAACAGCACCTGGGCCCAGGTCAGGCCCCCACTGCCTGGCAAATAGCTCCTGTGGGCGGAGGTCCCTGGGTGACCTTGAACGTTAAGGCGCTGTGAGGTGTTGGACTAGGGAAGCAGGGAGGAGCCTGCCAGGCAGAGCTCGGGGCTAGGGACCAGGAGGCCGGACCAGCATCTTTCAGGGCCGTGGTCCCTCTTGTTCTGGTTGATATCCCTTTCTGAAAGCGGCCTTGGGGGCTGGGGGGAGGTGTAGGTGGGTAGGTGGGGGATTAATATCTAGGGAGATGGGTTTTGTTTTCATGGATTTGGGGGTGGGGGTGCGGCCATCACTCTGGAAAAGGAAGGGCAGCAGAAGTTGGGTGGCAGGAGCAGAACCTCTCTGGGCACTTTCTGGGTAGAGGAGGGGAGCGCTGGATCACGCTCGCCACCGCCCTGCCACAGGCGCGCTTCTGGGAGGCCCATTCTGCATTCTGCACGCCCCGCCCTCACATCCATCACCAAGCTTTGTTGAAGGGTCACTCTGTGCCCTGCCCCACACAGGCTGCTAGGCGATAGTCACCAGTTTCCTCCCTAACTCCCAGCCTCTCCCTCGTGAAAGCCAAGAAGACAGGCTAAGTGGCCAGCTCCGTCCAGGGCAGCCTCCGCCCAGACCCCAAGCCCACTAGCACAGTAGCTCCACGACAGGGCCCCAGGGGCCAGAGAAGACTTACTTGTCACTGGGGACTCCCAGCACTGTAGGCTCTGGAGGGAAAGACAAATGGCCTATTGGGTTTGGAGACTCTCATGATGACCAGTGTCTAAATGTCTGACCCCTTCTCTGTGGGTGGCCATTGTGACTCCTGGGATAGCAGACCTGCATCCCGCTAGGCGGCCGCCACAGGGCCCTCAGGGAAGCGTAAACAGAAGAGCAATTCATGGATTTGTGGATGGTTCTTTCTGAGGGGACTTCAGACTTAGGGCTTTTGCTACATTGTAGAGACTTTTTAAAAATCTTAATTAGTCATTCCCCCTTCCCACCCCAGCGCCAGTGAGAAGACGAAGACTGGCGGCAAGGACCCTCGTTCCACAGGTGTCTTGGCTCCTTCTCCACCCAAGTGAACTTTAATTCATTTCCATTGGCAAAGAATTAATGTCTAATTATTTATTAAGCCCTGCTGGCTATTTATTCCTGAGTGCCAAATCCTCTCCATTCTGGGGCAGTAATTTGAGTATTGCTTCATTTATCAGACCCTCGGTTTACCTTGACCTTCTGGCAGCACTCACGGCTAACCCAGGGAGACCTTTCCCAACAGAAAGGTGAGTCATCAGGCCCCGAGGTCTCCTGGGGATGACTGGTGAGGATTCATCCTGAATTTAGCAAGTGAGGGCGGACCTCCCCCAAAAGCCAGGAGGCATCAAGTTTGAGGGGTGCTGCAGGGGAGCCTGGGCAGGTCCAGACTCTGGAGAAGGCCCATGTCCATGCTGGGAGGACCCTAAAGGCTCTTTGCCCAGTCCCCTGACTGCTCAGTGGAGAAACTGAAGTCAGAGATGGCAGGGGCACAGGGCGCACCAAAGCGTAAAAGCAAGGACTTAGATTTTGAGAATCTGAAGGTGAGCTCATAACCGTGGGGCTCTAATAAAAGAAACAAACTCTTTCCCCAGAAAATTGTGTATGTACTTAGACACTCCAAAATTTGTGTAAATGACAGGGCACTCAGACTCCTTGAAGTCCATCTTTGTAATCTGGGTTATGAAATCATGATCTTTACGAAAAACAAAGCAAAACAAAAAACTTTGAGGGATAAACACTGTAAACAAAGTAAAAAGACAAATGAAAAACTAGGAAAAATATTTGCCATTTGTATAAAAGAAAAAAGGTTGATATCCTGAGTAAATAAGGAGCTTCTAAAATTAGCAGAGGACAGCAATCTCATTTTTAAGTGGGCAAAATGGTCTTCAAATGTATTTAAAAACAATACTCAGCCTCGCTCATTATAAGAAAGATGCAAATTAAAACTATGCCAAGATAGCATTTCTCAATTATTAATACGTTAGCAAAACTCTAAAACTTGGACATGACACACTTTTTTTTTTAAAGATTGGCACCTGAGCTAACAATCTTTTTTTTTTTTTGCTTTTTCTCCCCAAACCCGCCCAGTACATAGCTGTACATTCTAGTTGTGGGTCCTTCTATTTGTAGCGTGTGGGACGCCACCTCAGCGTGGCCTGATGAGCGGTGCCATGTCTGTGCCCAGGATCCAAACCAGCGAAACCCCAGGCCACCAAAGTGGAGTGCGTGAAGTTAACCACTCGGTCACAGGGCCGGCCCCCGACATCAAAGACTTCTGGAAAGGCTGTGGCATTTTCAAACATGGCTTATCAGAATGAAAAACGTTACATCTCCGCAGAGGGCAATATCCAGGAAAATGACATGTGCCTCCATCCTCTGTCCCAGTGACCCCATTCTTAGGGATTTATTCCAAAGACACACTGGCAAAGACACATGCACAAAGCTATCCACTGCAGGACACTTTGTGATAGTGAGACTGGAACCACTCAGATAGTCATCAGTAAGGAACTAATTGAATGCATGTCTACATAATGGCATGTCACCAGGAATGAGGGCTACCTCCGTTTACCAATATTGTGTCATCTGTCAGCCATAGGTTAAGTGAAGAAACTAGGTGCAGAACTAGATTATAAATACACCCAGGCTGTGGTCTCTGAATACCGTTTCCCACCAAAAGGAACCAGAGCCACTTGGAGAAATAGCTGATTCCAGGTCCGAGGAAGGAAATGCAGAAGAGCCTAAAGCTTATGTCATACCAAAGCCAAAACTACTGGGATCACATTAAAAGGACTCAAAAGCCAACTTGAGTTAAGTTCCTACCAGCTGAAAATGAGACAATTTGAGCATAAATAGGAAAATAACCACAATGGATTAAAGCACACCAAATATGCTAAATCCAAGAGCTGACATGGTTGGTGGCCTGATAAAGGACTGCTGTGGGAGTCTTGGGACACCAGGAGCGGTGGCTGAGGTTGAGGATCCATCCAGCATCCTGGCCCAGGAATGACTCACTCAGATGGATGCCCCATCATCCCTAATCTTCGGGGCGTCTGGCAGGAAGTATCCTCACCTTTCCTAAGAGACGTTTCTGCTAGACTTCTTGTCACATAACTCAGACGTCCTCCAGGACCTTTAGGGGTCCGCTGAGCTCCTAGGGACAGCCTTGAGCACATTGTTGCACCAGAGCTGAGGACGGAAAAGAGCAGCACACCCAAGTCCTGTGTGCTGCGCCCAAGCACTGGGTCTTCCATTGCTCCCCTTTCCGTTCCCACCGCCCTTTCCTTGTCTAGTCCATAATGGCCTCCCACCAGAACCACTGGACAGCCTCCAGTGAGTGTGCTCCATCCAGTTTCCCTCCACCCTGCAGGTCAACTTGCCTCTTGATCTTGTCCTTACCCCAACTCAAAAACTTTTCAATGCTTCCTCAGCCCTACTTTCCACAGCTCGCCTACACACATGCCCCATTCCAGCAGAACCTCCTTTAGAAGGAGTTAGGCTTAAATTACAAATGATCAAAACAATGACCGTGTCCTCCTCTCAGTCCCCACAAACACCAGGCACAATGCCACCTCTGCACTTCACCTCCATTGTCCTTCACCTCCTAAGACACCCTCCCCCTCTGCACCTGCTCACACTTCCCTGCACGGGGAAGGCTGTGTGTCCTGCCCCTGCCAGCCAGAGCCAGCACCGCAGCTGGGGTAGCAGGAGGTTGTCCGCCAGCCCTAAGGAGGGAGAGGCCACGCTCAGACCCATTCTGGGCTCTGCAGCTGCCGCTGGTCGCAGCTGTGCCTGCCGCCTGGCTAAGGAATGTCCCCAGAACCCTCCCCCTCCCCACCCCACAAACGGAGTGCTGAGAGGTCGCTGCTCCCACGAGCTCCCCACCACCTCTCCACCATCTTGCCCTACCCACTTATGCCCCATTCGCCACCCCAACCTTGCTCCAGGGTGCGGGGAATCATTGGTCTGGAAGTCCACACAGTTCCAGAAGGCCAAGACAAATAGTCTTGCCGTAGCAAACAGCGTTCTATGTGCAGAAATTGACAGACGCTGTTATCACATTTCAGAGCAGTTTGAGGCTTTTTGAAGCGCGAGCTCCTGTCGCGGGAGGAGGGAGGTGTTTGTGCCAACTGTTTGATGAGTACCCAATGAAGCCACCAAATGCACAAAGCTGCCTGGCAGCAGCCTGCTTCTCCGCCAGGCACCGCGTGCGGCTTCCTTGAGCTTCACGGTGACCCCGGTGCAGGGCTCGGTGCCCTGGCCTTGCTCTGTCTCCCACTGGGCACCAGCAGCAGAGCGTGCGAGGCAGCAGGCTTGGTGTGCTCCTTTGGGCAGGACGGGAGCAGAGCTGGAGGGACACTTCTGCTACATGTCCCTGGAGTTGCTTTAGTCTTTTCACCCTAATGAGGTAGAAAGACAACGAGAAGTGAGGAAGAGAGAAGAGCTCCGTGTTGTCCGTCCCCTGGACGGCCCCGCCCCCCTGCTGCAATTCTAGAATGGGCTCACTCACCCTGCAGCCGCAGCCCCTCCCTGGGCCTGGAGGGTGGTAGTGTGTCACCGTGGGCATTAGCTGGACAGTAAAGGGATTAGTCTCCCCATCCCAGCGCAGTGAGTCACCGGCCCACAGCCAGCTCCTCAACCGCAGAAGGAGACCAGAGACCAGGAATTACCAGTTGTTCCTGCTCCGCTGAACGCCACAATGCCCCTGGGGATTTTCAAGCCTCTTCTCTAAAAATAGAAAGTGTAGGTTGAGAGCATTAGAGTCTCAGGGCCTATTTGTTAATATAGTACAACTTTTAAGAGCACAAACTCTGGAGTTACTACGTGTGGACTCAAAGTCCACCTCTTCCATTTACTTGCTCTGTGACCTTGGGCAAGTGACTTAGCTTCTCTGTGCTTAGTCTCCTTATCTGTAAAACGGGCATACTAATAGGGCCTATCTCTTAAAGATATCTCAGAACAATTAACATGTTAATATACTTAAAGTACTTACAACAATGCCAGCACAGAGTAAGGACTACTTGTGTTAACTAGCTTTGGGGGAGTCGGTGTAAGAGAAGTCAAGAGCACAGGCTCTGAAGATTGCTGGAATTTGATCCTGACTTTGGGCCAGTGGTGAAATGCTTTGTGACTCAGTGTTCTCATTGGTATAAGGGGGGAGGATACCAGCTAAAATATTAAAGGATTAGATGGATCAGTGTTTGCAAAATGCTGAGAACAATCCCCAGCATGATCTTAGCTGTTACTGTTGTTCTTTATTGGTTACTCTTATTATTATTGTCATCACTATCACTATCATCTCTCAGCTCTGATTACGATTGTGGCTGCAGATTGAAGCAACCACAGGTCCCCCATTGCACAGGAGCCAGGACTTAGGGACCCAGAAGGTGGTGGCCTCCTTTGGCCCCAGGCTTGGGGACAGGCCAACACCAGGCTGGGCTGGAGAGTCCTAACTGGTCATCAGAGCAGAAGAGGAACCGCCCACTGCTGGGCCCTCCTTGAAGAGGAGGCATCACTGTGAAGGGGGCCCCAGGTCATCACCATCCTCACCAGACAAGATCACAGAGTCTGGAGGTCAACAGACGTAGCTTCAAACTCTGACTCTCACTGGGCCAGCTGATTGACTTTCTGAACCTCAGTTTCCTTGTCTCTAAATGGCAGGAGGAGCTCCTTCCTGTGGAGACAACTACATTCCTGGCCGGGCACCTGGTTCAGTGAAAGCAGGTCCCTCTCTTCCTGACCCTCCCCTGACCTCTTCACTCTATGGTTTGGGGCCAGCTCAGCTGCTAAGCGTTTTGGATTTAGGGAATAAATGCTCATTTTGTTTCACTGTCTCCCTCAGGACCAAAAGCTGCAGGTCAGAGTCAATTGGATAAACCTGAGCATCATTTAACTTGCTTGATTAGGATCTCAAAATCCCAAGGAAAGGCATCTGCACATAGAGCGTCCATTTCTGATATTGTGTTTTGTTTTTTACTTAATCCATGGAATACATAGATGTATACCAGCGGTATTTTTTTTAAAGAATTCAAACAATACAGGAGTGTTTTGAGTAAAAATTTGAAGTCCCATTTTACAATTACCCCTCCCCTTTCCTTACACTGGAAACCACCATTAATTATTTCTAGACCTTTTTCTATGCATTTGTAAATATATGTAAGTATGATTCTACTGATATGGGTCCTGCTATGTCTATTACTCTAAGACATCCTGTTTTTGCTTAACAATATGTCTTCGGAACGCCTGGAGCTGCCTCATTCTCTCTAACGGCTGCACGTTTCCATTTGTGTGGATGGACAATTCACTGACCCATCTCCTCTGTGTTAGGCATCCAGGTGTTTACGATTTTTTGCTCTTAAGAACATTTGTGTGTGCATATGTGTGTCTGTGCATGTGAGCAAGCATTTCTGTGAGCATTTCCTGCAAACATAATTCTTATGTTAAAGAAGTGAAAGAGCCACAACTTACCCGACACTTGATCTCCTCACCCTGCTTTACTTTGACTCAGAGCATTTACTATGAATTACAGTATAGACCTATTTGCTTATTGTCTGCTTCTTCCACTAAAATATAAGTTTCGTGTGAGCAGGTACCTTATCTGTCGGATTCACTGCTGTATCCTCAACACTCAATTAGAATAGTGTCTGACACACAGTGGGACTCAAGAAATATTTGCTGAATAAAAGAATGGATAAAAAGACATGCATGTTTTTAATGTTCATAGGTATTGCCAATTTATTTCCAAAATGCTGACGGATTTATACTCTACCAAGACAGCAAGAGACTGTTTCCCCACAGCCTTGGCAACACTGGAGATTATCAACTTTTAAGTTAATTTTTCTCATCTGATATGAGAAAGAAATGCTTTCTCTTCATTTCTTTTTCTTCATTTACACCCTTGCTTTACAGCTTCCTCCTGAGCCAGGCCTGGCCTCTCACTGTGAGCATGTGCCAGCGAGACTGACTCTTAAGGGCTGTTGGTTTGCAATAAGCATGCGCAGAGCCATAGGCCTGGACAGCAGCCCGGAGAGAGAGCTGCGGAGGGCAGGAGCAGGGGAGCAGGGCGGGAGCCAGGAAGGGGTCTGGACAATGTCACAGCTGCTGCCAGTGGATGATGACAGCTGCTACACAAGTGGAGGCAGAAGACAAGCTGCTCTCTGGAGGGGACCTTCAGGGAGCCCAAGGGCGGGGCCCAGCATCCATCAAAGGGGTCAGTGTGTGGGTGGGAGGCCGCCAGCCCACAGCCAGGCCCTGCCCTCACGGAGGATCAGAGGTACAAGAGTGCGCGGCCCTGGCAGGCTTTGAGCCATTGACCTTTATCTACAAAGGTCCTTCCCAGAGACTGCATGATTCTTCCCTCCCGGAAGGACCTGGTGTGGCTGCAAGTGTCTCAAAGCCCTTATTCTGGTCTGGGCCATCTTCCCAGCCCCTTCTGTCTGTCACGGTGGCTCCCCAAGGAGGGACAGCTTCTCTGGGCTTCTGGGCTTCAAAGTAGAAACACTCCAGGGCCACGGGTGACCCTGTGCCATTTCATGTGATGCCTGCAGAGGACTCCCACGGCCAGGGAGGGGCAAAGCAGGCCTCTCTCCCGTCACCCCTGCTCAGGACCCACAGGTCCCCAGATTGGGTATGACCTGGCCAACTGCGCTTGCTATGCCTTCCACCTGTCTATACTGCAGGAAGGACAGTATAGACCTGGTTTAAAAGAGGCCTTCCTAAGAGATGTAACGACCTCGTGCAAGGCATGGATCTGGCTTAAACTCTGGTTTAACTAAACCAACTATAAAAGACATTTTTGCAACAATTGCAAAATTTGAACACTGGGACTGGGTGTTAGATGATCATAAGGAATTATTGTTCGTTTTGATAGATATGACAATGATATCACAGTTATGCAGATAACTTCTTATTTTTTAGGGATGCAGACTGAAGCATTTAGGGGTAAAATGTATGTCAGTAGTCTGTTTTACAATATTTAAGCAAAAATGTACGTGAAGCAAATATACCAAAATGTTAGTAAATGTTAAATCTGGGTACTTGGTATAAGGGGTTTATACCATCCTCTCAATTCTGTATGTTTAACCATTTTCATAATAAAAATTTTTAAATAGAAGAAGAGGAGGAGAAGGAATGTATGTGACTCTGGACAAGGCTGGAGCTGAGCACATAGAGCTGGGGTCAGCATCTGTCACTGACCGCAGTAAGGACCCAGCCCCAGAGCCTCAGATGGCAGTGCTGACCCAGGAGAAGCCTGGGGGTAGGGCTGCCTGTTTCTCCAGAAGCCATGAGCAAGCACTTGGAATTTGGAAGAGCCAGTCCACGGTGGATAGGGGACAGGACGGGACACTCCAAAGTCAGCTGCTGAGCCTTCCGTCCTGAGGACTGGAGGTCCTCATATGGACAGGCTGTTCCCAGCGTGGCCTGCCTGGCGATGGCCTGCCCGGGCTCTCTGAGAGCTGGCGCCCAGCAGAAATGGAATTACAGTCCACCGCTTCAGCTGCCGAGTTTCCATGAGCCCCAGCGGGGCACATGGTACAGGAGATGGCGCCTTAAGATGTAGTGCAGCGATTTTAGGCAGAAAAGCTGAGGACCTGGCCCAGCAGGCCCCCCAGGAAGCCAAAGTCCCCGCCATCTGCAAGGCAGCCAAGCATGAGCTAGCCTGTCTGTGTTTGCAAAAATTGAGACAGCACAATCCTTCCCAGAAGTCAGAACTGGCCCGCGTGAGCACAGGGGAAGTCATCCGCAGATCCGACGGCAAGGGCGGTTTGCCAAGCTGGGTCTTTACAGGAACAGCCTGGGCACCCTCCACCCGGCCCCCCGCTTAGAGCCCTCCTGGGGAGAGGATGAAGCATACTCTCTTATTTTTTTATAGATTTTATTTTTTAGAGCAGCTTTAGGTTCACAGCAAAATTGAGAGAAAGGTGCAAAATTCTCATGAGCCCTCCGCCCTGCCAGAGGCACAGCCTCCCCCACCACCACCATCCCCCACCAAAGGGTACATTTGTTACGATCACTGACACATCATTATCACACAGAGTCCACGGTTTACATTAGGGTTCACTCTTGGTGTTGTACATTCTATGGGTTTTGACAGATGTTTAACGACATGTATCCACCATTATAGTATCGTACACAGTATTTTCACTGCCCTAAAAATTCTCTGTGCTCAACCTATTTATCTCCATCCGCCTCAACCCCTGGCAACCGCTGATCTCCAAAGTTTTGCCTTTCCAGAACGTCATAGAGTTGGAATCCTACAGTATGTAGCCTTTTCAGATTGGTTTCTTTCACTTGGTAATATGCATTTAAGGTTCCTCCATATCTTTTCATGGCTTGATAGCTCATTCCTTTTGAATAATAGTCCACTGTCTGGATGTATCACATTTTATGTATCCATTCACCTACTGGAGGACATCTTGGTGCCCACTCCCTGTTCACCATCCTCTCTCCAATACACCTGTCATCTGGCACTGGCCCTGAGGCCCACAGCAGGGGCAGTGTGAGTTCCACAGGGGTCTCTGAACAAAGAGTCTGAAGATAAGTGAGAGATTTCAAGGGTGAGGACACCATATTCCGTCTACTCAATAAGCATTCACTGAGTGCCTACTCATGTCAAGCCAAGGGCCACAGAGATAAACACATTGTGGGCCCTGCCCAGGGAGGCCAACAGCCCAGGAGGGGGCAGAGCCAGTCTCAGGCCCTCCCAGCCCAACCCTGGGGGGATCAAG